TGAAGTATTTTCTCTTTGACCTGGGACCTCTAAAATTTGGCTATAATTTGGCTATAAGGGAGTTGCATTTTGGAGTTTCAGGTGATGATCGGCGGATTCCTTCAATTTCTATTTTATTTTATTTTTTAATTTTTAGGCAATTGGGGTTAAGTGACTTGCCCAGAGTCACACAGCTAGTAAGTGTCAAGTGTTTGATCTGAGGCCTGATTTGAAGTCAGGTCTTCTTGACTTCAGGGCCGGTGTTCTTTCCACTGCGTCACCTACCTGCCCCCAATTTCTATTTTACCCTCTGGGTCTAGGATATTGGGGTAGTTTTACAACTTCTTGAAATATGATGACTAGCCTCTTTCTTTCATTATGGCTTTCTGGTAATCCAACAATTCTTAAATTATCTCTCAATCTATTTTCCAGGTCAGTTATTTTTCCAATGAGATATCTCATATTTTCTTCTATTTTTTTTTTCTTTTTTTTTGACTTTGTTTTGCTTTTTTTTGTCTTCTGGAGTCATTAGCTTTCACTTGCCCAATTCAAATTTTTAGGAATTATTTTCTTCAGTGAACTTTTGTATCTCTTTTTCCATTTGGCCAATTCTATTTTTTAAGGCATTATTTTCTTTAGTAATTTTTGGTGCCTCTTTTACCAAGCTATTGTCTTCCTAATTTTCTTTCTTTGCTTTCATTTCTTTACCTATTTTTTCCTCTACTACTCTTATTTAGTCTTGAAAATCATTTTAGTTTGGGGCAGCTAGGTGGTGCGGTGGATAGAGCACCAGCCCTGGAGTCAGGAGGACCTGAGTTCAAATCCAGGCTCAGACACATAACACTCACTAGTTGTGTGATTCTGGGCAAGTCACTTCACCCCAATTGCCTCATATATATATAAAAAAAAATTAGCTTCTCTAGGAATTCTTGTGCTTATGTTCAATTCACATTTTTCTTTGAGGCTTTGCTTGTAGATGTTTTGATTCTGTTGTCTTCTTCTGATTTTGTGTCCTGATCTCCCTTGTCACCATAGTGACTTTTTGTGGTCAGGTTCTTTTTTGTTATTGTTGTTTGCTCATTTTCCCACCCTATTTCTGGATTTGAAACTTTATGTTAATGTTGGGCCCTGTTTCCATTGTGGAATAGGGGGTGGAAGAAAGGCTCTGTTTCAAGCTTCAGGGTTTTTTACACTATTTTCAGAGCTGGTTCTTAGGTTTTGGAAATTTTTGGTGCTTCCAAGGTGATGTGGTCTGGGCAGAGGTGTGGTCACAGCTCTCTTGGTCTGCACTCTGGTCCTTACCCAGGAAGGTCCCCTGATCCTTGGGATTACAATCAATACTGTTCTTCAGGGCCCCTCCTCCCTTGGGACCGAAAACAATACTGTTCCTCTGGGTCCCTGATCCCTTGGGGCTGGACGTGATACTGCCTCTCAGTATCCACTCAGCTTCTACTCCCTCTTTATTGAAAGTGCTCTTCTCTATCCTTGAACTATGACCCAGAAGTGGGTACAGGCAAAGGTGTTGCCAAATAATGTCTGGTCCAGCATCTAGTACTCACACAGGGTACCCTGTAATCTTTCTGATTAGTTGCCAGGTCCCCTTGCCATCTCACTGGAGAGCTCCTGAAGCTGCTATTGCATCTATCATCACCACTTAGTCCCACCACTAATGTTTCATGCCTATGGGCTGCAGTTCACAGATCCCTCTCTCAGCCCTCCTATGTTGTCTTGGGCTGGAAGAATGTTTCATTTTGATTTTTTTGTTGTCTCTGCCACTCCAGAATTTGATTAAGGCATCGTTTTAGAGTTATTTGGAGGGGAATGCTGGGAGAGCTCAGCTGAGTGTTTCTCTACTTCACCATCTTGCACCATCCCACCCCTGACCAATCAACAACATCTTTATTTTAGAAAGCAATTCACATTTCCTTTTCTCTGACACTCAATTTTTTTCTTCATCTCAAAGAGGACTAAAGTGAAGCATAGTAACTTACTTAATAAGCAAACAACCATGCCCCCTATCCCTTACATGCTCAGCTCTCTACTAGGCCTGTGAGAGATATAAAAGAAATATGAAGTGGTATCTATCCTCAAGGAGCTTATATGCACAGAAAAATAACAAGTGTTAAACTGTATGGTCTTGATCCCAAGTACAATACAAATTTAGGCAGAGATCAGTACAATCACCAATGATTTTAGGTAGGTGTCACGTAGGAGGGGCACTTGAGCTTTACACTCTAGCAAGGAAGACACAGCTTACAAATGGAGCAAATTTCTTGAGCCAGGGAGTGATGTGATGGAAGAGGTTACTTTACAGAGCTCAATCTGGCAAGAATGTGCAGAATGGATTAATTTTAAGGAATCATATTGTACTCTGTTTTGTATTACCCACAGACATCTACTATGGTGCTTTGCATACAGCAGGCACACAATATTTGTTGAATAAATTTGTTTAACATTGTTTAAGTGTGGTTTTGCCTGAAAATGATAGAATGTAAACTTTTTGAGACTGGGAATCTTTTTTTTTTTTAAAGTTATTTACTATTTATTTTTAACATTCATTTGAAAATTTTTTTAGTTTCAATTTCTCTCACCCCTTCCAGTCCCTCCTCCACTCATTGAGAAGGTATTCAATATATCAACTATACATGTGAAGTCATGTAAAAACGCATTTCCATATTTGCCATGTAGCAAAAAATAAAAGCAAGAAAAATAATGTAAAACAAGTATGCTTCAACCTAACTCAGTCCATCAGTTCTCCCTCTGAAGGTGGATTGGAATTATCTTGGATCACTGTATTAATTAGAGTAGCTAAGTCTTTCCCAGTTGATCATCACTACAGTATTGCTATTACTGTGTACAATGTTCTCCTGGTTCTTCTCATTTCATTTTGTATCAATTCATATGTCTTTACTGGTACTGTTTCAATATTGTCTGTATACCTCCTGCCTTGCACAATAGCCGGCTCATAGGAGGTGCTTAATTAAGGTTTATTGACTCACTGACTTCTAAAAGTCTATGGTCCTTCAAAATCATTGCCTGGAATGAGATATAGTTATGATAAAGTTTTGTACACATTTGCCTTCCCAGAGCTCAGGTCATATTTTAGAAAAATAAGGTTGGCCTCAGTTCGCATAGCTCAAAGCATGTCAAAACCTACCCAATAATCATCCGTTTTTAGTGTTCATGACTGCAGCCCTTGTTGCCATCATGTTCATATTGAAGTTAATCAAAATTGTGACAGAGGCCCATCATGGCAATCTAAATAAATAAATGCAACTTTGGTTTATGGATTTCACAGCAACACTCTAGGTCCAGATTAGTGAAAATAATGAAGCTTATGAAGTAATCCCATTATTTGAATTGTGCTGCATATTTCCATTGGGCTGGAACCAATTACCTTATTTTACACAATTACAACTTCAAGTAGTATAAATACAAGACCACTTCACACTAAAATAATAATTGCTAACATTTATATGTCATCTACTATGAGCTAGGCACTGTGCTAAGCACTTTTTTTTTCATTAGTTCATGATAAGATCTTTTTTCAACTGAACTCTCTATGCTAGTATCTTAGGGTATAGTAAAACAGAGATCGAATGAAAACAGAATGATGAAATATAAGTTAAAGGAAAAAATGGAATGGTGTGGAGGTTAGTTTTCTTTTTTAAAATGACATTACTTTTTCTCTAATTACATGTTAAAACAGTTTTTTAACATTTGGGTTTTTTTTTAAGTTTTGAGTTAAAATTCTATCCTTTCCCCCTCCCCTCTGCTCCCCCTTCCCTGAGGCAGTAAGCAATTTAAATATAGGTTATATGTGTGTAATCATGTAAAACTGTCCATATTATTCATTTTGTACAAGACTCAAACAAAAAGAAAGAAAAAAGTGAAAAACAGTCTCCTTCAGTCTGTATTCAGACAACATCAGTTCTTTCTCTAGAGGTAGATAACAGGTTTTGTCATGTGTCCTTTGGGATCATCATGGATCACTGTATTGCTGAGGACAGCTAAATCATTCACAGATCTTCATTGTACAATATTGCTGTTGCTGTGTACTTTTTCCTGGTTCTGCTCCCTTCATTTGCATCAATTCATATAAGTCTTTCCAGGTTTTTCCGAAATCACCCTGTTTGTCATTTCTTATAGCACAATAATATTCCATCATAATCACATACCACAACTTGTTCAGCCATTCCCCAATTGATGGCATCCCCTTGATTCCCAATTCTTGTGCTAAGCACTTTTTACAAATATTAGCTCACTTGATCCTCACGATAAACCTGAGAGGTAGAGGCTGTTATCCCTATTTTACTGATGAGGAAACTGAGGCAAAGAGAGGTTAAGTGACTTGCCAGGGTCACATAAAGAATAAGTGTTCGAGGCTGGATTTGCACTCAGGTTTCCTGACGCCAGGCCAAGCATTCTATCCACTGCAATACCTAGATGGCCAAGGAACTTACTTGTCAACAATTTGCTTTGGGGGCTCAAATGAATTACTGACCTGGTTAGTATAAATGCCAAATAGAGTCAAAGAGGCACCAGGGTGTAGTGAGAAAACTAGTTTCAGAGTCAAGAAGACCAGAGGGATTGTCAAATCCCTCTAGTAAACTGGCTATAAGACTCTGGCAAGTTAGTTAATCTTTTAGGGCCTGAGTCCCTAAGATTACAATGCATTTTTAGAAAGAGTTGTTTCTTTACAGAAATTCCCCATATATCAATGAAATTAGAGGCTTTGTCTGTCCCTTCTACATAACCTTGCTAGTCTCCTAAATTTATCTAACAATGCAAATGTTAAAATCTAGGTATTCATTTTAGTGCAAATTTGGGTGTCAAAAGAACTAACTCAAAGCATTTATTAACAGGCTAAAAAGGTACTTGTCTTTGTGCAGATGTTCTTGAAATAACATAGTGTTATTATTTAAAATATATTCATTTTTAAGTAATATTTAACACTTGCAAATTAATTATAACCACAATTCATAAAATTAAGTTTAATTCCTTTTTTTTTTTAATTACAGAGTCAGATCAGATTTTAGCCACACCAGTACTTGATTCGAGACCACTTAACTCCCTACCAAAGCTCTTCTGATGAGAAGAAAGCTTTTGAAAGAAGCGGATCTGAACCCCAATAATAACTCCCCATGCAGGCAGAATAATATTTAGTATTCTCAGTTTCTGATTAAAGACAATAGTAGCAAAACCATGTCTAAAGGTATAAACAGGAGTACTGAATCCTAAAACATTTAAATTAAATATTAAAACAAATCCTAAAACATTTAAATCATACAAATGATTGTCTCTCACCAGCTAATTAGACTCCATCCTGAAGCCGTGAGGCTGAGATCAGGGGTTCTATCCCACGGGTAGTTCTCCTCTATCTTACAGTCAGACCACACACACTGCTGGCAGGCATTCTGCTACTGGTTATGAAGGTAGCCAAACGGATGGATTGGAAGCAATTCAAGGGATACTTGTGTGGTTGTGGGCTAATGGATCAATGTGCACCATTTTGGAAAGCAAGACATTTTGAGCAATAGGTTGAATTAAGGTAAAGTACAGGCACACATTACAGATGGATGGTATTGGAGATGACAGAAGACTCTTTGGGTTAACCCTCCCACTCATTTACTGAAATATCTATCTGCTAGGGAAGGAAACTCAATGTACAGCTGTGAAGTATTCTAATCTATGTTTTTCAAGTAGGTTTTATAGTGATAATTTCCATTATAACTAAATGAGCCTTCTGGATTATAACTAAATTACACCTTCTTGTAAGCAACAAGATGGTAAACTAGAGATTTTCTCTGATCTTCATGACCTCTCAAACCTCTCCAAAACAGAAATTACGTATCAAAGATAAAGCAATTTCAGCTGTCTCCATGGTCCAGGGCACCCAGAAAACCAAGAGTTAAAAAAAAAAAAACCAAGCCCCAAACCCTCAAACTGATGCTCACTGACCAACACTCCTACCCTACCTCCCATGCTCCTGGCAGAAAGGTTACACTAACAGATATGACATCAAAACCTACTTCAATACCCCAGTCCCCCTCCCCTCTTTCCACTGTCATGGAGACCCTGGCTCCAGGCTGCAGAAGTTTTTTTTTGTTGTTGTTTTTTTTGCTAGGCAATAGGGTTAAGTGACTTGCCCAGAATCACACAGCTAGTGAGCGTCAAGTGTCTGAAGCCACATTTGAACTCAGGTCCTCTTCTGCAGAAGTTTTTTTGGGCTTCAACAGCTAGCATGGTCACAGCCTTTTAGGAACAAAAAACCTGGTCAGGCGCTGCAACCCAGATGCACCAGTTGTACAAAACTCTGAAAGGTGATGTTCCAGAAAATGGGCTCTGAACTGTTTGTGATAAGTTAAAGAATTAAGGAACAGAGAGAGTGGGGCCAGCCACCAGGACAGGGCATTGTCATATAGGAGACCATGCAGCACTCCACCAAGCCTAAGAGAAAGAGCACAGCATCCAGCTGCAGTTGATTCTGACCACCTGAAAATCAGTTGAGGCAGATATCTAGGCTGGTGAGCCATGTTCCAGCCTCTAAGGAAACTACAATAAAAGAGGAAGTAAGAAAATGAGTGATAAGGAAAATGAGGGGGGTGCAGTGGGAGGTGAGGGAATTGAAAGTACTAAAGATTCCAGGAAAAAGAAAACTCAAAGACGTTGAACATAAACAGATAAACAGGAAAAACAGTAACAACAGAAGGAAATGTGACCTCCAACCCAGTAGATAAATTCAGGCATCTATAAATGAATACTACAAGATTAGGGAAAATGATTGAACACGATGAGACAAAGGACTTGGTAGAATTTAAGGAGAACATGGACCCACATCACACTATTTTTGAGTGCTTTAAAAGAGAAATGAGATTTATGAAAACAGAATTTGTTCTACACAGCAAAAATCACGAGCAGAATAGAAAAACCTGAATCTGCAATGGTAAGCCTCAGCAAAGGAACAAATGAGAGAACAATAGATGGGAAATGCAAATAGAAAGAAATGAAGGACAGCCTTGAAGAAAAGAAGCAAAACACAATAACAATGAAAGAAAATAGGGTTACTATGCAGATAGGATTTTTGAAGATAGGATGTGTAAAAACAACCTAAGGATCATGGGTCTTCCAGAAAAAAACTCACTAAGACAAACACCAGAATGAAGGAAATAATAAAAGATAACTGACTAGAACTTTTAGAAAATGAAATACTAATTAAAAGAATTCACAGATCACCTCCAGAAAAAAATTACCCAAAGCTACAAACTCCAAGACAAATGGTGGTTAAATTTAACAATTCAATTCAGAAACAAGTTCCACAAGCCATTAGGGAAAAAGACCTTCAAATACAAAGGAAAGGACATTCCACTAATTCTGCACTCACTAGAAAAAGGAGGAAAAAGAATAATGTGTTCTGAAGAGCACTGGAACTCAGGATGTACACCAGGGTGAACTATGCAGCAAATCTGAGCTAACCATATCGACAAAGATGGATATTCAATAATAAAGAATCTGAAATATTTTTAGAAAGAAAAATAGAACTAAAGAGATAATTTGCTTCCCAAACACCCCAAAAAACAGAAATGCAGGAGGAATCAATAAATGAAGGAGGCAAGGATAGCAAGAGCAACAAAGTGACAACAGAGACGAGGGTGAGACTTCTTTCTAAATGTACACAAGGGGAAGATGGCGGAGTAGGTCAGAAAACTTTCGGCTCTCCAAATTTCCTCCACAACAAAAGACAGAACATCGCCTCAGAGCAGCAGAAATAAACATGGGGTAAAGCAGTTGATCTCCTAAGACAGAGGTTCCCAAACGTATTTGGCCTACCACCCCCTTCTCAAAAAAAAATTACTCAGTGCCCCCCTGGAAATCTACTTCCTTTAACCCCTTAACATTTTTTTTGAAATTTGTTTTATTTCAAAAAAATATAAAATATTTTTTAAATAACACACCTTAAATTTAATAATTTATTGTAAATTTGTGGGTTTTTTTCTGCATTGAAATTTTGATGATGCAATATTGCATCATGTATTATCCATATAATTTCATATTGTAAAGAAGTCATTACACACACATATTCCTGCTGATGCATGCTGGACTTCTCAATAATGCACAACAAGCTTACCTGCCAACACTTGCTTGTTGAGACCTGTCGGTGGACTTGACCACACTTACATTGTGTATGTTTATTTGGAAAATAATGTAACCAATACAACTTTAACTGTTACATAACAGATGAAATATGTATAAAGATTTTTTAAAATTTTCTTATCTTCCCTTCTTTCCTTATGATTTCAACACCACCTTACTTTTATTCAATGCCCCTCCAATTGTACCCAAGGCTTTACTACTGCCCCCGAGAATCATTCTAGTGACCCCGAGGGGAGGTGTTGCCCACTTTGGGAGCCTATGTCTAAGACAATTTGAGAAGACCCCAGGAAGGACCAGACCTCTGGTGGTTTGGCCTGAGTGAAGTGCAATAGCTCTAGGCTGACTATAGAATCAACAAACAACAAGACCTTGGGGAAGCTGGGTTGAGAGTTGGGTCTAAGCCTCAGCCTTAGAAATTTTCATTTTGCCAACAGTGTGGGGGTCTGATGGCTGAGTAGAAGAAGACTGAAGGACCTTCCATTATGGAGGGATGCCAAGCACAGCTGTGCTGATCCCAGCCTCCCTGGCTGTGGCTGCAGGGAGAAGGAGCTAGCACACACCTGCTGAGCGCAGTAGGAAGGGGCAGGGATCCTGCTGGCTGTGGACACCTGCAGGAGAGAAGAAGCCCCAGTTTCACTTCCAGGGCAGAGAGGACAATTGTAGTTTGCAGCCACCAGAAGGACTATAGGGAGCTAGATCATTTGCGAATAGTGTGGCTGGGGGCCCTGGCTGAGGCTTATGAGTGGAGATGAGAGCCCAAGGTTGGGCTCCCAAGACAGACCTCAGAAAATAACAATAAGAAGGACATGAGACTTGGTGCACATTCCCCATACCTTGGGACTACAACTTGATTACACTAATAGCTGCTAAAAACAAAATAAAACAAAAAAATAAATAAATAAAAATGAGTGAGCAAAGGAGAAAGAACCCAACCATAGTTACTATGGGGATAGAGAAGATCTGGGTTCATATTCAGAGGAAGACACAGGAGCTAAAAAAAGCCACTCCTTTTTCAATGAGAAATGTCAAATGGTCCCAAGCACAAAAAGAGTTCTTGGAAGAACTTAAAAAGGACTTTAAAAATCAAATAAGAGAGACTGAGGAAAAATTAGGGGAAAAAAATAAGAGAAGTCCAAGAAATCAAAAAAATTACGAAAAGAAAGTGAACCAACTGGAAACAGAGAATCAAAAACTTAAGGAAAAAAATAATTCCTCGAAAACTAGAATTGGGCAAGGGGAAGCTAATAATGTTCTAAGACACCAAGAACTCATAAAACAAAATCAAAAGAATGAAAAAACAGAAGAGAAAGTGAAACATCTCATCAGAAGAACAAGTGATCTGGAAAACAGATCAAGGAGAAATAATATAAGAATAGTTAGACTACTTGAAAATTATGATTAAAAAAAAGAATCTTGATACAATACTATAAGAAATTATCAAGGAAAATTACCCTTAAGTTCTAGAAGGCGACAAAGTAGAAATAGAAAAAATCTACTGATTATCACCTGAAAGCGATCCCAGGAGAAAAATTTTTAGGAATATTATAGCCAAGCTTCACAGCTCCCAAGTTAAAGAGAAAATATTGGAAGCAACAAGAAGAAAAAAAAAACAATTTAAATGTCATAGAGCTATAATATAGATTATACAAGATCTAGTGGTTACTACATTGAAGGACCATAGGTCTTAGAATACTATACTCTGCAGAGCAAAAGAGCTTGGGTTATGACCAAGGGTAACTCACACAAAGTTAAGTATAATCCTGAGGGGGGGAGGCATTTAATGAACCGAAAGACTTGCAGGTTTTTGTGACAAAAACCCCAAAACTTAAGGGAAAATTCAACATAACATCCAGGAGATATAGAAGGTAAACATTAAAGATGAATTATAAGGAACTCAATAAGGTCAAACTGTTTACTTCGTATATGTGAAAATATTAG